TTAACCTCGTCCTTCGTCTGTGGTCTTCCGCAAGGAGCAGTAATTCCGCTTGCAAAAACAAACAAGCAGAAAGCGCTTGGACAATTGATAAAGCGAGCGCAGCTCTGAGGGCATCCATGCTGTCGGCTAGTGTAAACACAGGTCGCACACGTGATGTCAGCATTTTTTTGTCGCGGAAAGTGACGTTGCGGACCTTAAAACTCCGGTTTTGTCTGTCCACACGCAGACACCCAAAATGGAGAAAACGCAGATCTTCACTTTGGCCGGAGTTTTTAAAAAGATCCGTTTTCGTGTGAAATAACTCAGTTTTCGTGTGGATGACAGGCCAAATCGTAGAAAAATATCTACGTTTTGGCAGATCCCCGGCTACGTGTGGACAGGGCCTAAAACTCAAATTGTGATTCTGTGAGAAAAATCAACAAAACCGTCCAATCATACAAAGACCAACATTCTGTGACCTGTTGACCCGCTAAGGAGTCTCCTGCTCCAAAGAGTTTCCTGTTACATGTTGGGTCAAATTGCCATTGTTTTCCACAGAGAAAGGTTCTGGTTTCCTTTCAAATAATTCTTATATCATAAGTCACACCATTACACACTGAACTACCTGTTCTCAAGTTTAGTTTCTATGTTTTTTAAAACAATGTAGGGAAGAAAAAAAGTCAAGCAGGAAGCTGCTGTGTGAGATTTTGAATGCAGCTATTGAATGTTTGATGCCATTATAGTGCATGTTTGCATGATAAAATAATTGCTGTGTGACTATAACACACAGAAACATGCACAGAGAAAAACCAGCAGTGGTCCTGTATATGTGGAAAAGGCTGAGTGTCATGGCTCTGCTCTTCTTCTTCTTTTGGTGTTTTATTGGCGGTTGGCAAACAACGAATGGTGCATTACCGCCACCAACTAGTGTGGAGTGTGGTCTGGAACAGCGCTCACAAAACAAAACCAAACAGGGGAAGAACAAAAAAAAAAAAAAAAAAAAAAAAAACCCTCAAAGTCTCCCAAACATCCTTATCTCTTTTAAAAACTGAAATAAAATCTGAAAGCAGTCACTTTTTGAATTCTGTCTCAATAAATCAATAAGATCCAGTTTCACTTTCTTCTGACTAAGATTTTGAAACATTTTCCTTCTTTCCGCCTGATATTTCTGACATTGTAATATAACATGATCTATAGTTTCGTCTTCTCCACAATAATCACATTTCCCTGTATTATGTTTCCCTATCATGAATAATGTATTGTTTAACCCAGTATGTCCAAACCTTAGTCTAGTAATGATCACCTCCTCTCTCCCACTCCTTCCAGTGTTTCTCATTTCTCCTACTCTTCTTTGAATTTTATACAACCATCTTCCCCTCATTTCCTCCTCCCATTGTTTTTGCCATTTCTTCTTCATTTCTTGCCTTATTATGCTCTTGATCTTTTTGACAAAAGTGAATATCTAACTGAACTGATGCGTTTATTGTTGCTTCCTTAGCCATCTTATTGACTCCTTCATTACCTCTGATTCCACAATGAGCTGGAATCCATAAAAAATGTATTTTAAGTCCCATCATGCTTATTCTTTAAAGTGTTAGCTGAATCTCTAGTAGTATGTCTGGTCTGCTTTCTGAATGGCTGCACTTTAAACTGGTTAATGATGAGCTTGAGTCTGAACAAATAACTGGCTCTGCTTTTTCTCTGCTGCTGTGCTCTTAAGTGTTTGCAGGTGAGCAGGTAGGAGAGCCACAGCTGCAGCTGATTACCATCAGCCAGGCCAGAGGATATAAGGAGTAGTGTTGCCACACTACAGCGCCAGTTGATACTCTGTTGTTGGGTACTCTAGCTCTCCTTGTTCCTGTTTGAATCTAGCCTCGTGGTTTTTTCCCTCCCCTGTGCTCAGCTTCCTGCTGCCTGAAGTGGATTATTACCCAATGCCACTCAATTCCTCTGGTCTCCTGCTCACCTGTCCTGGATTACTCCTTTGCCTGCTACTCCTCTCCACCAGACCATCTCCAGCTCAGACCTGACTTGCCTCCCCCTCCTGCTCAAACCCCACTTCACACAATAAGACTCTGCCACCATTACTCCACGGTGTGTTCTTGGTTCTCAGTATTCCTTTCATTATCTTCTGTTTTAGAATCGTAATACTCCCCCTGGCTCAGTTTGGATCAGCGCTCTTTCTTTTTCTTTATAATAAAACATTTATATTATAACTCGCCTCTCTCCACGTGTTATTCTTTCATGTGGGTTCAAAGACTGCAGCCCGACATGACACTGAGCTGGATATTATTTGTCCAAGCGACAGCAGATATATTCAAAACTTGTGGACAGGGACGGTGTGGAGCTAAAAGTGTCAAGTCTGCAAATCTAGGAAACCCTAACATCAGCAGATGTTTGCAAGGGGTTAATGAAATCAGGGTTTGTGTGGAAGAAGTTGGATTTACTAACGGAGATAACAGAAGGTTTTGTTGTTGTGCTGAGATTTAGGACAGGATTATGTAGAGCTGGCTCACATGTTGGGGTTGGTTTGTTTACAGGACAAGCAATGGAATTTAGAACATAGGTACTGTAGCGTTATTAAGATCCTATTGTCTGCCCTTAACAGCTGCCCCTTCACACAGTAACATCGCCAAGGTCGGATGCTGGTTTCAGTATGTTTACATTCCAGGAGAGGAGACAGAAGAAGAGAAGAACGCTTTCCATTAATTAATCAAAGTACTTTATTCGTGATAAAGCTAATCAAAGCATATGTTAATAATCAGGTGAATGATCTGTGAAATAAAGATGTAATGAGTTATGTGTTTAATGAATAAACAGGACTGCACCAGACAGACTGATCTACATTACCATGGAAACGCATGACACATTGTTTTCAACCAGTCAGAACTTTCGTCTGTCGTAGAGAGAATCTGGGTTGTTTAATGAAGTTGTCCAATCCGGTTTACTAAGATTTGTAAACAACTAGAGGATATAAAACAAGGCAACGCCATTTTATAGTCAGTTCCATTTTAACCTCAGTTCTGTTCAGTTGGAGGTCCTAAGGATTCCATCGTCATCATTAAGAAAGTTGCAGACTGGCCAGATGCACTTTCCTACTTTAAACTGAGAACTGTCAAGCTGGAGATTTCTGTCGTTTGAACAACAAGACGACGTCCCTTCAAAATAAGAGCTGAACTCGCTGACACCTGCCGCTACTACTGGGAGTCGATCCGCAGACGGGCTTTGTAGTGCTGTGACCGCTGTTCTACCAGCTCCAGTACATCTGAAGGTCCGAGGACCTGGCATTTCCTGATCTACACGGGAGACTCCATGGGTACGTAGTCACGGCACAAAATGGCTGCTCATGTCATCAGCTTCTGAAGCCTCGTGGTAGCCTAGTCATAACAACCAGATTCGCTACGTCAGCCTAGAGATTCTGAACAAAACACACACACACGCACCAACACTATAACATTCAAATCCATATGCATTCATCATTGAGTTAGTCCTGGTAGATTGTAAGAATTTATAATTATAGAAATTAAAGATTCTTAAACGATCCCAGCTCTCTCTTTTCTTGTCTCTCAGTCAATACAGAGTGTTTAAGTAAACTCCCTGATGATAAAAACAACCACTTCTGATTATAATATTTAGATCTAATTACAGTGTATAAATATACAAACTACATATCACTACAGTACATTCTTAGTTTGAAACTCATAAACTATTAGAAACTGAAACACATGATGTCACACATTTCCCATAATGCAACTGCTGCTTTTATAGGAGGTCCTCACACCCAAAAGTTTACAGCACACACTGCTTGTTTTATTAAAATTGAAGTCCCATTAGTCGTGACACACTGGTGAAATTAGTTCCACATTTGACCCATCCCCATGGGGAGCAGGGGCCTGCAGCAGTGGCTGCACTCAGGAACTATTGGTGGTTTGACCCCCTAATCCAACCCCTTAAAGCTGAGTGTCATGCAAAGTGGTATTGGATCCTGTTTGTAGGGTATTTGGCATGACTAGACCGGTTTTGGGCCCAAATCTCCCAGTACCAGAGTGGACACTCATACCAGTAGGCCACTGAGAATGTGGCCTAGTATTGTAGATGCTGCTAAAATCTTTGGATGTAGGAATTTGTGTTTTATATTTTTCTTTTTTTTTTTTGAAAATCTAAATCTGGTGCAAAAGTTCATGTATGTCTCTAATTCAGCTTAAAATGTGAATTTAATACATGAGATATATTCATTTCAAGATATCTCAGCCTTTAATTATAATTGTGATGAGCATGGCTTACAGCTGATGAAAACCCTACAGACAACTAGAATATTGTGAAAAGGTTCTTTATTCTAGACTCAAAGTTTCACACTCTAATCAGCCAATGAATCCAAAACACCTGCAAAGGGTTCCTGAGTCTTTAGATGGTCCTTCAGCTAAAGCTGAATTACTGAAATTAACTTTTGTACCTTTATTCTAGGTTTTTTGAAACTTAGATGCAATTAACCCATCAGATCCAGGGACTTGATGCTTTTCTTTTAAAAAGATAAACCTACAAGACCCATTTGCAGAGATGAAATTAATTTAATTTGTTAAATATATCCATAAAAAGGTAAAATATTACAAATTCACGTTAAAATCATTTTTTGTGGCTGGCTAGAGATTTTTGCCTGCTTCTCAAAAAATTTGGAAACCACTAGTTTAAAGATTTGTAAATAAACATGTATAACAAGAAATTGAGGAACAACCGTTTTAGCTTATTTGAATAATTTGATGATACATGAAATCATCAGTTGTGCTGAGAACTGATCCGATGTAACCAGAGGCAAATATTAAATTAATTTTAACAATGTATTTCTGGAGTTTTGTGACAATCTGATGAACCACAGCTATCAAGCAGAGGCCTGCTCTGTAAGGGCTGTAGTGTGTGTGTGTGTGTGTGTGTGTGTGTGTGTGTGTGTGTGTGTGTGTGTGTGTGTGTGTGTGTGTGTGTGTGTGTTTGTGTGTGTTGCTGAAGGGACAGCGCCCTGCATTGTTGGACTGGGTGTGACTCTGAGGAACTGTCCCTGGTCCTGAACGCTTCCTGGCCCCCTCAGCTGTCTGACAGACGCCCCGTGGAGGCATTTGAACCATTTTAGGACTCTCACAGCTTCTAGACTCCCTGACATGCAGATCTCTGAGGATTAGGAGCTCTGATTTCCTCCCTTCACTCAGACTCCAGGTAATAACTCATCAGATCAGAGCTTACTGGATCATTACAAGCAGGCTGCAGGTCTCTCCACAGAATGACAGACGCGGGGTTTGATTAGATGTGTGCGTAAGCGTTTTGTCACTGATCTGCACAGAGCAGAGGGCTGTCTGCTGCCTCCTGGTCTTCATTGTGGGAGAGCTTTCTCTCAGCGCGTGTTTTCCCTTTGTCACAGCAGCGACCACCTGCGCGTGCAAGCCAGCGAAGGCGGTGGCTGTCCAGACAGCTGCGAGACGGAGCTGAGACAAAAAGAGGAAAAAGCCAAGCTCAGGAAGCGCCTGATAAATCCAGGGAAAAAAGAAAAGAAAAATCACCATCCCACAGGCATGTCAACCACCGAGGAAGTGCCTCCTTTCTTCCAGAAGATCGGCTCCGACAGCCCGTCCAGGCCGAGGCAGAAATTCTGTGGCGTGTTCTGCCCGGTGGAGGGCTCCTCGGACAGCAAGACTCTGGACTTTGACGCGCTGTCGGTGTGCAGAGGAAGGAGCGGCGGCAGAGTCATTGACCGGCAGAGCGACATCTCCCAGCCCAGGAAGGTGGAGATCCGGGAGAGCTCAGGCAAAGAGGCGCTCCAGAACCTGGACGATAAGCGGGTAAAGCCCCATGATTCTATTCAAACCATTTCACTAAAGACTCCACAGAAAAAAAAATCAGCTTGCAGCTTTCAGATTTTTGGACAGTTTTAACCTTAAATTGCAACAATCAAAAGCTGTCAGCTGAGTTACTCAGCAGGGTGATCCAGACAACTTTAGTACACCACATTTCCCAGAGAGCATTGCGCCAACAGAATAAAGAGGGCCTATCATGCAGGGGAACCAGAGGGAGTGGTTCTGTTGGTCTTCATTTTTTTTTTGGTTTTCTGGTAAAACAGAGTTGACGTGTGTACATTTGAAACCCGAAGCTGATGAGTTCTGGTTGGAAATGTAATGCTTGATGCAGGTTCTTCTGGGCTCTTCAGCAGCAGCATAAAGGTGTTGGTCTGCATGAGTCACAGGGAAATCTGTCCATTTTTCTACTGCATGGTTCGGACCCATAATCTGGTTTTAAAGCTAAATGCTTGGCTCTGACAGGAACAGAACCTCATTACTTCCTTTACTTCATATTTAACCTCCCAGGGGGCTGCTAAAAGCTTTGGGGGTGGGGTGGGTGTGAGTCATAGTTTCATGTTTCATGTTACTTATTGGTCTCCATCTCTTCTTGTCTTGCTCAAAATGGGGTAAAATGTTAGCCAATGTTTGTTTTCTGACTTCAGATGAGAATAAAAATGCACATTTACATGATCCAGTAGCGTTCTGTTGGGCCTTTGTGCTGGTTTTGTTTGTTGCAGTGGTGCTTCAGAACAGTCCCCTTCTAGATTTGCAAGGATTGTGCAGCTGTGAAGGAAGAAATGTGACTGAACAAGGCGTTTTGAGCTTCAGGTACCAGTCACAGGTGCATGGGCTACTGGGACCATGCTGGTTGACCTTCAACAACTTCTGGTTGAGGAATGGGAGTTTGTTCCACAGGAGGAGGAGCCAAGTTGTGGCTGTGTATGAATCTTCTACATGTTACTGTGGCTCCTGACAGTGGAAATAAAAAAAATGAGCCATTGTTTGTTGTTGTTTTTTTGCTGGTTATTGTGAAAGACTTAGTTATCCAATCCAAATTGCTCAGAATAAGACACAAACGGGACAGTTTTACAGAGAAGCACTACATGTTTATTTATGTTGCTTGGGCTTTCCAACAAGTCGAACTTTATCACCAAAAATGTTTGCAACTCAGAAATAATCAACCAAACACAAATTTCTATATTTTTGTTATTTGGTAAATGGCCTGCATTTACCTCAGATCCAGGGACAGCTCGGAAAAGGGTAGAATGCTTTCTCCAGGTCAGGGATGAGGTTCTGCCCCAAGTAGGGAAGTTTAAGTATATCAGGGTCTTGTTCACAACTGAGGGAAAGATGGAGCGCGAGATCGATAGGCAGATTAGTGCTGCGTCTGATGCGGATGTACCAATCTGTCGTGGTGATGAGAGAGCTGATCCAGAAGGCAAAGCTCTCAATTTACAAGTTGATCTACGTTCCAACCTTCATCTATGGTCATGAGCTTTGGGTAGTGACCAAATCAACGAGATCGCAGATACAAGTGGCTGAAATGAGTTTTCTCCACAGGATGTCTGGGCTCCCCCTTAGAGATAAGGTGAGAAGTTCAGAGTAGACCTGCTGCTCCTCCACATCGAGAGGAGCCAGCTGAGGTGGCTCGGGCATCTGGCCAGGATGCCTCCTGGACGCCTCCATGGTGAGGTTTTCTGGGCATGTCCAATGAGGAGACCGAAAGGGAGACCCAGGACATGCTGGAGGAACTGTCTCTCAGCTGGCCAGGGAACGCCTGGGGATTCCCCCGGAAGAACTGGCCCAAGTTGCTGGGGAGAGGGAAGTCTGGGCTTCTTGACATAGGCTTTTGCCCATGCAACCCAACTCCGGATAAGCTTAAGAGAATGGATGGATGGCCTGTATTTGTTTAGTGCCTTCTTAGGGTTTTACCCCCCCCCCCCCCAGGGCACTTCACAACACAATCAGTCATCCACCCATTCACACACAAGTTCACACGCTGGTGGGGATGAGCTACAATAGCCACAGCTGCCCTGGGGCGCACTGGCAGAGGCGAGGTTTTCCAAACACAGGTGCCACCAGTCCCTCTGACCACCACCAGTAGGTGGTGTAGGTTAAGTGTCTTGCCCAAGGACACAACAGCAGCATTCTCTGGTCGGAGCCGAGATCGATTCTGCAACCTTTCGATAACTCGACAACCCGCTCTACCTCATGAGCTAATGCTGCCTCAGATCTTTAAAAAGCAAATGCTTTAAATAAAAAAACAAAAAGGAAAACATTAAGTAGCATGCCCTGCCTTAAGTTTTTTACCTAAGTGTGGGAATTATTTCTTAAACCTCATTTCAAGGATTTAATTGCAGGTGTTGTAGAGCTTTTTAAAACAGATTATAGTAGAGGGATGATCTGTCAGCTGCTCCTCTTCATCGAGAGGAGCCAACTGAGGTGGCTCGGGCATCTGATTAGGATGCCTGCTGGATGCCCCCCAGTGAGGTTTTCCAGGCATGTCCAACCGGCAGGAGGAGACGTAAAGGGAGACCCAGGACACGTTGGAGGGACTATGTCGCAGTTACATCTGTGTTTTTAGGTCACAAACTGGTTTTAAACTGTTAACTTTCATCCTGCAAGATGCAGGTGCAAGAAATTAACTTAACTTGAATTTTAATAAAACAAAATCTAACTTGAGATATTTTGATTAGATAAAAGCTGAAACTTTGGGATTTTTATCCCCTTTAATGTGTAATTAGGCTTGCTTAGTTGAAGTCTCTTTGATCCTTCAGACACATAGAGGCCCTGCTGAAGGCCTCCCTGATCCAGCAACTCTCAGGTTCTGGTCACAGGAAGCTCTACCTAACTGATCTCCCGTCAGTTGTTCTCTAGCAGATTTAGAGTTAAGATGGCTGCTGGGCGTCTCGTCCTGAGAATTTGCAGGCTGCAACCCCCCCCACCCCCACCCCACACACACACCACACCACACAATCCATGAGAGCAATTTATGGCATTAGTGCAGCTCGCCAATCAATGGAGCAGGGCGAGGCTTTGCGCATGCTCCGTGGCGGTCCCTCCCTCCCTCTGCTCCTGTTTGATTCTGTCTGGAGGATCTTGGTGGAGACCGGGCAGGCTGTCAGGCAGCGGTACCGAGTTCGGACAGTCCGAATCTTTAGGTTTGTGGTCTCTAAAGGATCGGCTGCGATCGAGCCTCTTCTTCCTCCTCTGAGAGTTCGACCCGGCTGCAGGCTGATCCGAACATCCCCGTTGCATTGATCCAAAAGGCGCAGCGTAAAAAGCCGAATCCCGACCCCAGGTGAAGATGTCTGGCTACCAGGGCAAGAAGAACATCCCTCGCATCACGGTGAGTTTCTGCCTAAATTCTGATCTCGTTCGAGGCTAAATCTAGTTCGCTGTTCGGGCCCGGAGCTGCCTGGGCCTGCGGGCGTGGACGTAGGATGTCACGGGTCCGTGCACCGCCAAGCTCCGCCACAAATCAGAGCTGAAAGCTGCAAGGATCCGTTTTAGTCAGGATTTTTCTGATGATTCTTTCGGGTTTGATCCTAAAATCAGGTTTTATTCTAAACCCGCTGATTAATGATGCACCAAGGCGGTGGCTGGAACAACCCGGGTTGTGGGAGCATCTTATTTTAGAAACAAGTGCTCCTGTTTGGATCCATCCGAGCTTTTATTCATCAGATTGTGTTTTTTACTGATGCATTTTCAAATCGATCTCACGCCGGTGGCCTTTGTTAGATGCTCTAGGTGTCACTGTGACTGCACACCAACAGCCCCCTGTGCCTCCCAGTCACCCCCAACCTGGCTGCGCTTGCTGTTCACGTTTCCTCCCCTCCAAAAGACTTCTTTTCTGTTTTTGCTGTAAAGGCTTTACCTTAAGTTCTCAAGGCCTGGGTTTAGGAGACCTTATCGGTGCCACACGGAGGCTGAATTGTCCCTGAACGTGTAGCAGCAGGGATGGTGAGAGAACAGGGAGGGGAAGGGAGGGGACAGTGGGTCCTATTTCCTCCCATGTTCTTCTCAGCTGTGGCAGCCAGGGGAGGATGCATGGAGGCAGAGTGGATCAGGAAGGAAGGATGTGAAATAACAAGATCATGTCAGAGCTGCTTATATGAACCATGGTTTGTGTCAGAGCCTTACCCAACACTGGGACAATGCATTTGAACAAATTATTACTTTATTGATACTAATCTAAAGCTTAAATGAACCATTTGTGTTACTTTATTAAGCTTTCATTCAAAGCAACATTGTGAAAATAGTGCCATTAATAATACCACATGCATGGCTTTGATCTTTGGGGGAAGTCGGAGTATTCCCAGAAGAATATGCTGACTTCATGCAAAAAAACCTGCAGTCAGGATTTGAACACCTGACCTTCTAATAGTAGTGTGACCAACTGCACCACTGTGCAGATTGAAACTAAGCCCTGATTTATTTCTCATCATAGAACCCGAACTAGGCAAGGCATCTTTATTTGTTTAGTACATTTCGTACACAGAGGCAATTCAAAGTGCTTTCTAGTGAGAATAACACAAACATTAAAATCAATGTGAGAGCACAGTTAAAACACACAAACACATTTAGATTACATTAAAAACACAAATTAATTTCAGATTTAAGAATAACAAAGACTAAGGTAAAGCATGAGCAGTTACAGTGCAGAAGGTGCAGCATAAGAAACATATTCAAAGACCGGTGCATGCATGAAAGTTTTTAGATTTGATTTAAAAGTTTCTAGAGTTGGGGTACATCTGAGGTCATGAGGAAGCTGATTCCATCTGTGTGCAGCATGGTAGCTAAAAGCAGCTTCACCCTGCTCGGTTCTGACCCGAGGTTCTACCAGCTGACTGTTTCCTAAGGATCTCAGAGGCCTGCTGGGTGTGTATGCTGGAAGGAGATCTGACATGTATTCTGGCCCCATGCCACTGAGTGATTTACAGACTAGTAGAAGTGCTTTGAAATCAACTCTGTCGTTTACTGCAATTATATTTCTTTAAAAT